AGCGATCCGTGAAAAACGACGCGCGTCATGTCGCGCCGCGCCGCGCCAACGATCTAATGATACACACACCGTTCTGCAATTGGAGACGCGCGTATTTTTCTGGCGACGTATTCCCGGCGATTCATTAATTGCTGACCTTGTTAGCGTAGTATTGTGAAGCGATGGTCCCGCGGCGATGCTTGAGCGGCGCCCGCGGGAGCAACCGGGAGCGCGACCGGGAGACAAAGAGGGTGCAGACGACAGCACGTCGAGGTTGGGGCCCGAGAAGAGAGAGAGAGAGAGAGAGAGAGGGGGAGGGGAGGAGAGAGGAAGAGAGAGAGAGAGAGAGAGAGAGAGAGAGAGAGAGAGAGCAGGCTTGCTTGGCATTATCATGCATTCAGAGCCCCACCATATAATAATGCCCGGCTCCTTTGTCGCGTTTATATTCGCCCCTGTTCTGCGCCACGGTCTGCTCACAACCGCGGCGAACATTGCCCTGCTCGCTCATATTTCTGTGGTGGCACCTCGTTTACCTTCTTACGGTCACTCGATATCGGGAACCTTTACAAAATACATGATGCCGCGGCCGCGCTCGCCTTTCCCCGCGCTGCTTCCTGCCCGACTGCCGCCGCTCGTTGGGCCAATTGGCTGGCGAAATTTCTACTTAGCGGAGTACGAGAACGCTCGCCGGTGAGATGCTAGAGTTATAAACTGTGAAAATCCTCGAGAGAGCCTCTCCTCTCTCTCTCTCTCTCTCTCTTTCTCTGTTTCTCTCGGCCTTTTCTCCTTTCTATCTCCCTCCCCCGCTCTCCGCGACTCTCGCACGAGAGAGATCCGCGGCCGTGGAAATTCCAGGAGCGCGAATAGATCGGCTCGGACGCGAAAAGCGCGAAACGTCATACGCACGGGGAGAGAGGGGGGCGCTCCCTCCGCCTTTCCGCGCCGCGGAGCAATATTGTTCCAATTCCGCGGCATTCGGATTAGCCGCATAAATTTTTGCCGCCTCTCCCTAATGATAACGGGATTACGGAATAACAGCTTTCTAATCCTATTTTCTTATCAGTTTCGGGGATCATCCGCCCCGAGTTAATCAATATACCGCGTGCGCGCGCGCGCGCGCCTTCTCCCGCGTCGTCATAAAAACATCCCGCCCCGTTGTCCGAGGAATCGATGGACCCCTAATCCCGCGCGCGCCGCCCGAGGAGCGATAAATTGGGGCCTCTCTCGCCGCTCTCTATTTTCTGCAAATGCGTCCCCTCACGCGGTAAACAATGCGCACACACTCCGCTATGATCGGCGGCGGCGGCGGCAAGTGCGGTGCAGACAACAGTTGTAAACATCATCCCGGCCATTGGCGATCCGCCGCCGCGCGTCGCGCAGAATGAATGCCTTTTTGCAATTTGTATCGCGCGCAGCGTCGAAAAACGAGGCGAAGAGCGCGCGGGCGGCGGGCCGGCAGGGCTGGCGATAGAAAAAAGGAGAAAGGAAGAAAGAGCGAGAGAGCGAGAGAGAGAGAGAGAGAGAGAGAGAGACGGCAGGTGAAGATGGTTACGAAGGTGAGGAAGGCGGTAGTGGGCCGCGTTGGGATGTTGGAGCGACCGCCGCGCTCTGACGAGGGACAACTGGGCCAATCGATACCGCAGCCGGTGGTGGCTGGCGCGATAGAACGAGCGAGCGAGCGAGCGAGAGAGAGAGAGAGTGAGTGAGTGAGAGAGAGAAAGAGGGGGGGGATGGGAAAGAGGGAGAGAGAACGCTGGGTGCAAAGGTAGCAGCGAGGGTGCGCGGGCACAGCGGCGAGGAAGACGGAGGGTCGACGCGGGGCGGCGCGGCGGCGGCGGGGAGGTAACGACGAGAGGACGAGCGAGGGGACAGGGCAGAGGTGGCGGCAGGCAGGATATCGCGGGGGTGCCCGAGAGCCACCCCCGCACCGACCACCGCCGCCCCTCCCGCGCCACGGATGGCGCCACGATCGCCGGCATCCTCTGCGCGTAGCGTGGCTGCCGTCGACCTCTCCGAATGTGCTACCGACACTCTGCGCAGAATCGGCTTGCGGAGGTGCGTTGTACCACAATGTTATCGGGCCTGTCGTTTTATCTCGTGTCCCGATTGTTGTTGATCCCGTCGGACTGTTAGGGGAGAGAGAGAGAGAGAGAGAGAGAGGGAGAGAGGGAGAGAGAGAGAGACGGACAGAGGGGGGAGGAGATCAGAGTGGGCGAGAAAAGACGCAGTGCGTGAGACCTGTCGGTCAAGAGCGACGACGCACTCCCCCGTTCCTCCTGCTGAGAATCGCGCCGCATCATCGACGTTTCGCCGTGACGACCCGCTGGCGCTACCTCCTGGGGACCGGTCGCTCCTCTCGCATAACCTTGAATCGAGACTTCGTCGGCCAGCGGCAAGTACACCGGCAAGTAGCCCGTAATCGATTAGCCGAGGCCTGCCGCGCGCCGGACTCTTCCGAGTGTCCTGCGGTAAATCCTGCCGCCGCATCGGCTGTCCGCCGGACACCCTCCCGGACACACGGATACTGCTCCGCGATCGCGTGGACGCGAGAATCGGCGGGGGCAGGCGGGAACGTGGAATCGCATTTCTTCGTTGACCCCCAGCGGAACCTTTAGCCGTCCGGCGCGACCACGCGCAGCCCTGATTAGGGCGTTAAATCATGGCGCGAAACGCGAAAGGTGAACGTCCGCCAACGAACTCGCGGTCGCAGTGAGCCTCTTCGGCGAACGCGCGCTTGGCCGCGATCGCTGCCAGCCTTGATTTTTCCGTCACGTTGCGAGACAGGCCGACGTTCGATCGCTTCGGGCCGCGCGTGAACCTGCCGGAAAGGACCTTGCCGGGGACACACGCAGGAAGGATCGCACGTCGCGAGGACGTACGCGTGCGCGCGCGAGCGCGCGCGCGCGCGCTCGTCGCGTGTGTGTCGTGTGTGTGTGTGTGTGTGTGTGTGTGTGTGTGTGTGTGTGTGTGTGTGTGCACGCGCATCTGCGCGCGGCCGAAATTGTAGGAACAATAGCGCGGCGGAAGTGGCGAATGGCTGGCCTGTACGACTGTTTGAGATGGAAGTGAGTAATAGCAGAGTAAAGTGACCGCTGTATTGGTCGTGATGATCATCGTACGGCCATAAACTGTCGCCCGTGTGATTCAATTGCCACCGCAAGCCGAGAGCCAGCAGTAACGATGCATCACTACTACACGCAAGAAGACATAGATCGCGTCGGTAAGTGTGGAAACAGGAATAGGATATTTGCGTACGATGCTCGAGACGGGAGGCTATAGCCGGCGAGGCCCGTCGACGCTCTCTCGATCCACGTGCTTCCGAATCGACGCTTTCACGGCCGACGACGTGTAATGGCGCGCAGTTAGTTCACTACTAGCGCTTCTATCACCTGCCGCACTTGTTTCTTCTCGCTCTTGTTTCTCTTGTAAACATATCGAGCCACATTACGCCGCGCCGCACGCCTCTGCCCTCCTCCGGCGCACCGGGCGGCGGGTGTTGCTCTGCAGCGGGCAGCAATTTCGGGGAGGGGGGGTGGAGGAGGGAGGAAAATTATATACCTTTGCCCATCGACTCACTACAAACGACTGACTGTCACGAATTTTATATGGAGGAGTATGATAGTTTTTAGATGGTGTACGATATTTCATGCCAAATCGTCCTTGAGACGTATTTGTTATTTGTCGAAATATGCTTCTCGGAGGGATACTTGCGAACGGCAATTCGAAAGACAATTTTTCGAGACTAGAGGGTAACTCGTCGATGACGATTGAAGATGCCAAAATCATAATCCGCATTGCGGGTCCGCGATCGGTACGTCCGCGTCGGACTACTTTGGAAATAACCGGTCGAGAAAGCGAATTTCCCTCCGCCGTCGAAGCACGCGCTGCGTTACGCGTTATCCCGTTATTATCGCGGCCTGCGCGTGTGTAACCGTATACAATTGTTACCGGTTGGACTTTTAAGTCGAGACTCGCGATTATAACTGTTTGAAATGAGAAACGCTCGTCCCCGTCCGAGTACGAATAAGGGAGCTCGTTATTTTATAATGCGCGTACGCTCGGTAACACGCGCGGATAACGTTGCACAATGTGTCCGATGTGAAATATATATGTATATACATATTCGTTCTTCTCGTCGTGCAAGAAGGCACGAAGACACCGTTCTCAACGTTAACGCGCCTATTTGGCAAATATATGCAAGTTAGATCCCAAGCGTACCAGGGTGCCCCTTGTATTCAGAATTATATTAGGTCCTTCGGGCTTTCCGCGCTGGTCTTACCCGGAATTTAAATTGGACCAGATACGTTACGGGATGAGAGAAATGAGGGAATGGAATAAAATTCTTGCTGCTATTCTCGGCTCAAAAACTTCGGGAGCACAATTCCGTCCCGGCCGATTATTCATGGGATTGCGGCCAAACGCTCATCCCTTACACCGCTTGATTGCTCCCATTAATTGTTATATAAATGTTCGTACGTCGGCGTGACCATTTCGCAGCCACGGCCAAGTAGAAAGGGACCGAACGCGCGTTAGTCGACCTACCGACGACGACAAAGAGCCGCGACGAATAAAAAAGAGCTCTGATCGCCATATTCACGTCGTGTCGTATTTAACCCAATGCGCGCAGAATCTGAATATTTAGATAAAAAAAGTTGCCCTCGAATGAAAGGTAGCGAGGGGCTCTTTGATCGCAATCCAAACTACGGAGGTAAAGGACGGTAAGAGCTTAACGCTTCCGTCGGCGAGTTTGAATTATTATAAATTAAGTATGACCTTGAACAAAGATGCAACCGGACCGCGCTCTCTTCGTCCTTTACCTCTGGACCCTGAAAATCACCTCGCCTATCGCGAACGCGCCCAATATGCATACGCAGTTTGTTATTGTATGCGCGAGAAAGAAACGAGCGAGGGAGGGGGAGAGAGAGAGAGAGAGAGAGAGAGAGGGAGAGAGAGGGAGAGAGAGAGAGAGAGTCAAGAAAATGTAAACTCTGTTGAAAGTTGGCAACTTGCAATGAACTTACGAACTTGCTGAAAGCGACTCCGCGAAAGATGACGAGGCGCGATAGGCCGCCTCGGGGAGCCTCACCGGGTAGGTCACCTTGAGTCACGAAGTCACGAATAAGTCGCGTTTGGTCTCTAACGCTAACTGGCGCGGACCGCGATCGCGCGCGGGGACGTAGATGGCAAAACTATGGCGCTATCATTGGACCCGCGAACTCGACGAACAATGTATGTGGGAGTGGGTTGAGAGAAGGAGGAGGAGGAGGAGAGAGGAGGGAGGCAGGCGAAAGTGTAGGGCACATTGTCCGTGCAGCCGACCGACGCACGTATTCCTCGTGCTCTCGTGGCGCATTGTGCTTTAAGCCCGTACCTCGTAAGCAAATTAGAATTGTGCACGTGGCTCGCATAAGTCGACCCACTGTCCGCCCGCCCCCGCGCGCGCGCGCGCGCGAGCTCGGGATACATCGGGGTGGATTTGTACATCGGCGATCCCTCGGCCCCTCCGTGAAGATACATCGGCACCCCGCGTATATTTTGCGCGCCCCGCGAAGCCGGCGGGGCTTTTCTCCTACGCGGTGCCCAAAAAGGGCGCGGCGACTCATCGGCAATTACGCCACTTTATTGCTAGGGTTACGTGTCGCGCGTGGAATTAATGCAATCTCGCGGGGACAAGCGGCCGGAGAGAAAGAGAGAGAGAGAGGGGGGGGAGAGAGAGAGAGAGAGAGAGAGAGAGAGAGAGAGCGAGTCGCCGCGTTTCTTCACGGTATTGGCCGTTTTCACGCAGCGCGAGCGTCGCGAAGTGCCGACGACTCCTGCGGGCGGAATCTGCGATACGTCGCGTCTAATTGAATTTCGGGAGAAATCGATTGGACTCGCTCTCGGCTGCGCTCCCGGCGTGGTGGAACCGCGCGTGCGAAGGATGCGTGCGTGGGACAAGCGTGCAGAGCGGCTCCAATTTCTTAATTGCTTGGAGCGGCTCTCTCTATTTACGACCTCCCGGCCTACTTGCGATCGCTCATCTCGTTGTAGTTTCTCGTTGGCTTCGTTTGCCGTGGAATTAGAAGACACGTCCGAATGGGGGTTGTATGGACGACGAGTCTCGATGGTGACTAAAGATGTCCCCATTACCGCGGTCAATAATACTCGTCTGATATTAACGCCAATAACACTCGGCCACACTGACGCGTGCCCGAGATAATGAAAAACAATTGACTCGTTGTCGGTAGAAACGCCGACGGGATGTTATTAAGGACTGTCAGTCTTGGCTGAATTTTCGTGAACGCAAAAAGGGCGAGTTTCCTCGCAGGTAATCAAAGAAGAATGATTTTGTGAATTATTTTCAGTCACCCGATATAGCCGCGACATATCGAATATTTCCACGACTGTGTGTGCGTGTGCGAAATATATGACTGAATTCACATCAACGTGTCCGGACATTTAGGGCATAATAAATATTAATGTTATGATTCGCGAATGCCTGGATGTTTTAACAACACGTGTACGCACGCGGATGAAATTTATTAGATATTCCATTTGGTGAAATTGCATTTCTGCACTCATCATCTGCATGATTGTTCGACACCGAATTTATCGACACGTTATTATTAAATAGCCATATTTTCGTGTACGCTGAATCCCGTAAGACTGACGGTCTTCGCTGTAAGGACTTTTCTACTGCTAGAACCGAGTTTTTCGTTTCATCCCCGGACAACAGAGATTCAGTTGCTCGAGAAGAAGGTTGCGTGAAGAAGGACGAGGCAAAAAATCGAAATATCCCGCGCGCGAGAGTTGTCAAGTCTTATCTGAAATAAATTTACGCTTAATAATAGTGGCTGTATAAATACGTCGCAGAGAGGAGTGCAGTAACGTTTCTCTCTCGTAAATTGCCTTTTATTTATTCTCTCGGGACGAGACACGAGAGTCGTCGCGGTCGTCGCGGGCACCGGCTGTGCTCCGTCATCGTCTCCACTTTAACGTTTAACAGCAACAAATCGCCAAAATAAGAAGGTTCGTTGGTCGTTTTTGCACTTCCCTAATGCCGGTAACCGGTTTCTCGCCTGCAGCATATTGTACATATCGAAATAATCGAGATTTGCGTTCGATGAGGCGAAAGTGCGCGCGGGAAAGGGGCGCTGTGACGTGCTGCGTTAAACTTGAAAAATTACGAGAGTGGCGCGTAAGAGCATAAGACGTGGGACGCGAGACGGAGCGGGCTGGGCGGGGACGGGGAGCGGGACGGAAAATAAAGCAATTCGAGCGACGACGAGAGCGCTAATGGGCAACGGTGCAGACACCAGCGGACAGGAAGCCCTCACATTGATCGTTCCACATTCACTTCGGCAAACAAGCGCGGCGGCGGCGGCGGTCTGATGGTGAGCGTCAAATAATTCGCCCGCCTCCCTGCCTCCACCTGTCTAAGCGACACAACACGGTCGAAAAGTTTTGGACAAGGCAACTCCGACATTTGGCCCAAAAAGCCGACGCTCACGGGCGAACATTGTCAACTCCGCGGCGCGAGCACGCTCAGAATTTTCTCTTCATAACGCGACGCGACCTTTCTGACGGCGCGCGACCGTGCGACGAACGCACGGATTCGCTGATTCCTGTTTGTCTTCGGCTGGATTTCTCATTGTCCGCCTGGCCGCGTGTTCGACGACCCATTTTCCAACGCTTTTGCGCTCGAACGTGCGCTCTCTTAACTTCCTCCGTGTGTTCGGATCTTTTTCGACTTGAACGTTTTTTGGGAGATCGTAAGTCGCTTCTCTCATTCTCGCACATTATAGCGAGTGCATTATGCGTGAAAACGTCATCTTTGCGATGAAAATACTTTGATATCGCTGAAGTTACTTATGTACTAGGAACGTTCGGATCGACAGAAATTCGAATTAGGAGGTCAAAGTGAACGAGTGACAAGAGTATATTTTGCCGATAACCGGTGATTGATTTCCAGTGGAAACACACCGCTTTATTGCTTCGTTTTACATCTCGCCGATTCTGGCCGATGGAAGTAAGATTTCCCTAGCACACAAATTCGTTGCTCGCTGCGACCAAATCGGCCCGTGTTTGCAAATTGCGCCAATAGTGGTGACAGTCGCTGCTATTAACTGAATCTCTCAGTGAGATTTTATCGATTCCCCCCGCGTTGTATTTACAACCGAGTCACCAGTTACAATGTATGGTATTTCAGTGAAGAATACACTGCAGAGAGCACAGTATCCGTCCGCGTTGCGTTGCTCAATCGTTCCCATTCAAAAAAGAAAAGAAGAAGGATCGACGAATTCACGTGTGTCTAAGAGGACAGAGAGAATTCGGCTTTATACGACCTCGCAAGGAGGGGGGAGGGGGCACACGGCGATCAAATTTTTCACTTCTCTGGCCAAGCAACTCGAAGCGAGAATGGAATTACGAAGTGGACGGGACGTCGAAGCGCCGACCTTTATTAACACTGAGCAATTAACGTTTTTAGAGAGAGAGAGAGAGAGAGAGAGAGAGGGAGAGAGAGAGAAGGAGAGAGCGAAAAAGAGAAAGAGAGCCAATGAGCGCTTATGTGGGTCGCCGAGATGAGAAGGCAATTGCTCGCCCCTTTGCGGCCGTTATTTCATTGGCTGAGGTCGTAAGTAAAAACGTACCGAGCCGTTTTTCCCCCCAGCTTCGCCTTCGCGTCCTGTATAGTTGCTCGCTGCGACTATAACTGTGGCAAAGCTGCCGGTGTGCCTGCAGTCGCGCGGAGGCGGCGGGCGAGGGGCGGTGGAGGAGCGAGCGGCGAGGAACGAGAATGCTAAAGTGGAGTCTTTCAATTCGCATCCCTCTTTCAAGCTCGATTCTCCTCCTCCGCGCCGCTATTGCTCGTTGTGCCGCGTTAGCAGAATTCACCCTGGCAAACAAAAATCATATCGCGTATTTGTTTGTCGCCTCGTATTATGCGCAGCGCGCGGACCGCGAGAGTTCGATGAACGTAATGTGGATATTAAAAGTGGCAATAAACTCGCGAAGCAGAGATCGGTGAAGGGGGAGGGGAGAGAGCGGGGCGGACGATCTCTTTCCGATAAACGCGCCGACGGCAGCGTTCCGCGGCGCGGCTTTAATTCCTCGAGTTCGGACGTTTTCGTATAATTACGTCGCATATTTATTCCCGGCTGAAATTCAGTTCGCTCCAAGTTCATCGCGGGATTAAGCTCTCACCTTGAGGAAATCTAGAGAGAGAGAGAAAGTTACGTCTATTTGCATTTTTAACCAACATTCTCAGTGTCGCTCCTTGTTGCTCACTATAAGTGAGATCTTTTCAACTCCAAAAAGGATTTTTTTTCTTTTTTTTTTTTTTTTTTTCGAAAAGACAGTAGCGTGTAAGCACACGCGCGTTCTCGCTGTACATCGACTTGTGCATTTCGCCGGCCGCCGTTCCGCGATCGATACGCGTGTGTGCGCGACGCGCGAAGATAATAGAAATTATCCTGCGCGTTACTTAGACAACGCGCTCGGCGCTTCGCGTGTAAATTATTCACGATATAATTACGTCGGCCAGCTTTTTGTACAAGCGCGAAACAAACTCGACAGAGTGTATGATAAAGCATTCACAGCTTTGCAGCGTCGTGTGTAAAGCAGTTACATCCAGTTACGTCATCGGACGCTACATTTATCAGAGAGACGCGTTAAATCGATCCGTTCAATTTAACATAGTTATCTGTGCGCGCATGTTAACGTTCTATCACACGGCTCTCCATTAGCATTAGAGATTGCGCGTATAAAAAATAATGCCGGTGAAGCCGGAGAACTTTTCATCTGTCGGCTGTTATAATTATTATTATCTTCCCGTTGTTATTCGCGACCCATACATATATATCGCGTTTTTAAACGCGCTTGAGCACGCGTGTGCGCGTATCCCATTAGAGATCGCCGCGAAAAAATGTTTATCATATCTGTCGTTATGTAACGCTGAGAACGAAGTTACTCGCTTTTGAGGTACAATTTTGACGAATTGAGTAAACCGATTTACGTCGACGAGATCGTCGTTCCGTCTCTCTTTAATATCCAAGGGCAATAATACTTTGCACCGGCCAAATTTCACAGGAAAGCGGGCAACTTTTTTTGTTTCACATCTCTCCGATGTCGCCAGCTATTGCATAATTGTTGCGCATTACAGCTACGCGGTCTACGAGCGTCTATCGCGCGCGCGCGTGCGCGATTTTCAAAGCGGCACTTTGTTAGGCGCGTAATTGTTCACGGGTTGCGTAACGC